TATGTTTTACTCTCTTTTTATTTGTGGCTGAAATGTAAGTTCTGGATACAGTCAGTTAATAATAACATTTTCAAAAAATAGAATGTTTGAGGTTTAAAAACATATCTATTAATATCTAAAAGTGAATAATTACTGTTTTTTAATGATATTGCTGTAATATATATTTCTGAACATCCAAGATTTAATACTAACCATTCCTCTGGGTAAAGAGAAAACTATTCAGCTAATGACTTTACCTGGCAGTCATTATTCTTTGACTCAGTTTAAATTTTCCTAGCACATGATATTTTTTAAATCTGATTAATTTTCTTAGAAATATGAAAATCATCTAAATTTATATTGATTCTGAGAAATATGAGTTGCTTGCACATTGAGTATTCCACTTTTGGTCCTCCTTTGAGCCTTAGCAAATTGATTTTTGTAGAAACATAAAATGGCAGTTTTACAGCAAAGGAAACCTACATTCTGTGTAAATTCAGCTTCCCTGCTTTTATTCTAAATATTTTTAGTGACTATACTTAGTAGAGCATTCTCTGTTTTTCAGAGTTTGAAACTAAATTTCACTTAATACAATTTTTTTTCTAAAATCCATATTAGCTTCTATCTGCCCATACATTTCCTAAGCTACTCTTACTTTTTTGAATAGTTACATATTAATGTAATAATATCTGTATCACTTTAATTTGAAATAGATCCTTCTATTTTAGTTGCTACTTTGTAGACAAATTCAACTTTATTGTCCATTACATTTTTAACACATTTCCTATTTAGTAATAGATAAGGCCAATATGTTCAAGTATTTAAAATGTAATAAAATTACATTTTTCTGCTTTATCGCTTATAAGTATATTGCATATAGTATCTAGGAAATTGGTGATATAAAAGTTTTCACAAGGAAAAGGTGTTGACTGATTATGTGGTTATTAAGACATTAGCTAACACAGTACAATTTTTAAGAAAGGCTAAGAGGTTAGAATTTGATGAAGGAAATTACCTTCAAGATGTATGTTTGTGGGGCATTGACTTCATGAAATCTTTCATGTTTTAGTAGTCGAGGTAGACAATTTTGTATCAGGCTATACTGGAAAGTAATTTCTAGCACTGAACTAATACTATGTGTCTCCTTTGATCCCACTGTTAAACTTATAAGTAGGTATGGTAAACATTGCAAATAGGGATTTTTTTTTAGTTGGCTTGAAGAAGAAGAATTACTGCACCTTCTCTCTATCTATGTTTTTGTATCTGAGAAAGATGCTTTGGGATACAGATGCCATTTCGCTGATATTTACTTTACCTCTTGCCATTTGTGTAACATTTGAAGAAAGCTGTAGTGAGCAATGGTATACCCAATGTCTGAATACAGTTAATGAGGTGTTCTTTGTATTAGGTTGGGAAGTAGGTGACTAATATTATAAGGAAGTGACATTTTTTAGATTCATCATTTAGATATCAGAAAAAGTTAAGGACATTTATTTGTCCAATTAACAAAGTTGCATTTTTGTTTACGGTGAAAACATGACATTAGTTATACAAGAAATTTTTGGAACCTATTTTTAATCAAAAATAAATTACCTCCAATTTATTATTTTTATTGAAGTATAGTCAATTTACAGTATTATATTAGTTCCAGGTGTACAGCATACTGATTCAGTATTTTTGCAGGTTATACTCCATTACAGATTATTAGAAGATAATGGCTATAATTCCTTGTGCTGTACAGTAAATCTTTGTTGCTTATCTATTTTATATATAGTAGTTTATATCTATTAATCCCATACCTGAAATTTGTCCCTACCCCACCCTTTCCTGCTCTTGTTTGGTAACCATAAGTTTGTTTTCTACACCTGTGACTCTGTTTCTGTTTTGCATATACATTCATTTGTACTGTGTTTTACATTGCACATGTAAGTGATATCACATAATATTTGTCTTTGACTTATTTCACTAAACATATTCTCTAGGTCAATCCATGTTGCTGCAAATGCCAGAATTTCATTCTTTTTTATGGCTGAGTAGTATTCCATTATATATACATTCACACATGCAATCACACAAACACACATCTTCTTAATCCAGTCATCTCTTCTTTTTTTATTTTTAACATCTTTATTGGAGTATAACTGCTTTACATTGTTGTGTTAGTTTCTGCTGTATAACAAAGTGAATCAGCTATACGTATACTTATATAAACATATCCGCTCCCTCTTGCGACTCCCTCCCACCCTCCCTATCCCACCCCTCTAGGTGGTCACAAAGCACCGAGCTGATCTCCCTGTGCTATGCAGCTGCTTCCCACTAACTATCTATTTTACATTTGGTAATGTATGTATGTCGATGCCACTCTCTCACTTCGTCCCAACTTACCCTTCCCCCTCCCCGTGTCCCTAAGTCCATTCTCTATGTCTGTATCTTTATTCCTGTCCTGCCTTTAGGTTCTTCAGAACCTTTTTTTTTTTAGATTCTATATATATGTGTTAGCATATGGTATTTGTTTTTCTCTTTCTGACTTACTTCATGCTGTATGACAGATTCCACCTCACTACAAATAACTCAATTTCATTTTTTATGGCTGAGTAATATTCCATTGTATATATGTGCCACATCTTCTTTGTCCATTCATCTGACGATGGACATTTAGGTTGCTTCCATGTCCTGGTTATTGTAAATAGTGCTGCAATGAACATTGTGGTACATGACTCTTTTTGAATTATGGTTTTCTCAGGGTATATGCCCAGTTGTGTGATTGCTGGGTCATATGTTAGCTCTATTTTTAGTTTTTTAAGGAACCTCCATACTGTTTGCCATAGTGGCTGTATCAATTTACATTCCCACCAACAATGCAAGAGTGTTCCCTTTTCTTCACAATCTCTCCAGCATTTATTGTTTGTAGATTTTTTGATAATGGCCTTTCTGACTGGTGTGAGGTGATACCTCACTATAGCTTTGATTTGCATTTTCTGATGATTAGTGCTGTTGAGCATCCTTTCATCTGTTTGTTGGCAATCTGTATATCTTCTTGGGAGAAATGTCTGTTGAGGTCTTCTGCCCATTTTTGGATTGGGTTGTTTGTTTTTTTGATATTGAGCTGCATGGGCTGCTTGTATATTTTGGAGATTAATCCTTTGTCAGTTGCTTCATTTGCAAATATTTTCTCCCATTCTGAGGGTTGTCTTTTCATCTTGTTTATGGTTTGCTTTGCTGTACAAAAGCTTTTAAGTTTCATTAGGTCCCATTTGTTTATTTTTGTTTTTATTTCCATTTTTCTAGGAGGTGGGTCAAAAAGGATCGTGCTATGATTTGTATCATAGAGTGTTCTGCCTGTGTTTTCCTCTAAGAGTTTTATAGTGTCTGGCCTTACATTTAGGTCTTTAATCCATTTTGAGTTTATTTTTGTGTATGGTGTTAGGGAGTGTTCTAGTTTCATTCTTTTACATGTAGCT